ACAACACTACAATATGCTAGAAGTCCCCTTATATCCAAATCCATTTTGGAAGATTTCGCTTTTGAAATAATGCTTAGAGCACTGCTAGATATTACCCTTAGTTTTTTGACCAGGGTCATTTGACCAATATTTACGAACTCCGTCGTGCTATCAGTTGTTGTGGTCCATTTTACAGCTAAATGTAATGCACTGGCCATCCAAAATGCTAGAATTCTTCTGTCGTGTCGATTGGCTTAAATTATGTGATCAGTAAATTTTTTCTGTTTTTGATTCATTTGAACCCCCAAAAATATTTTGCGATCATCTCCAGAAGCAAGAGGCCTCTCTGTATCTCTAAATTTAGACTCATCTATGTGATTTGCTTGTCTACGATATATGACTATATTCGTCAAAAAAATCAACTTAAAATGGCAGAAGTTCGCCTTTTTGGGTATCGCCTGTAAGTTGTTTTCAGCGTTTCGGTAGAATGGAAATTTTGGTATTTTTTCACACAAAAGTAGTGGTCCATTCAACCCGCTGTCCTTAACTCTAACTTCATGCGAGATTCCGTGTCCTTTGCTTTCTATTTGTAGCGTTTATAACGTATGCAAAATAAGGAACATTTTTAGTTGATGGTCCATTTCAACTCCTAGCCCTTCTGAGCCTAACCCTACCTTGGTTAAAAAATTTCGTGAAGATCGAACGATAATTGCAATCTGTATATAAATAATAACCCCAACCTGAATGGTAAGGTGAAAAAATATTACAAAATGTACACTTCAATATTATAAGTCAAATTGAAAAAATCGCATGCGATAAAAAAATATGAAAAAATAAAAAAATGTCACAAAATACTACAAAATCTATGTTTTTTATCAGATTTTTTTAAATTATATTCTTTTATGTCAAGAAGGCATTCTGAATTGACAAAATTTGTCAAAATCGGTCCAGCCATTCTTGAGATATAAGCATTCTAGCTAACATCCCCATCCTTTGTATATAAATATTGTATTATTTCGCTGTATATATCCGATATATTTACTATCGGCATCTACATAACGGTCAGAATTGACCTGTTCGTCTATTTCTGATTTCGCCGGGATTAAAAATATTCGCGGTTTAATGGAAAATTTTGATTTTTAACATAAATGTTATGGTCTATTTCACCCACTAAATATTCCCCGATGACCATAAAAATTGGAGGGCTTCTGCCCAGCCCTATACTCTAGCCCCATGCTAACTTCCGCGTAAATTGGTCTATAATTGTGACCTGTAGAGCAACTGCAAAATCAGGAAAAACAACCCCTAAATATTATGCGATCATCTCCAAAAGCAATAGGGTTCTATCATGACCCTATCCCCACCTCCATTTTCAATTTCGTGACGATCGGGCCATTATTGCGACCTGTAGAGTAATTACAAATTAACATGGACAGACGGACGGACGGACATACATAGCTAGATCGACTCAGCTCGGCGAGATAGGAAGATCCATATATACTTTCCTATGTGGGAAACCAATATTTCGTGGTGTTACATAATTTTTGGCCCATTCAAACTTATAATACCCCCAACACAAAGTGTTGTGGGGTATAAAAATGTATATCGGAACCAATATACGGAGACCGAAAAAAATTTATCCAACTGGGGCTGATATTACATATTTGGTGTACAATTACCGTGAAATCGCATGGAGATATATATAGAAACTATATACAAATCTGATCCGATCTGGATAAAATTTGACAGAGGAATTTCTGGGATGTATTTGATATCTGGTACCAAATATTAAATTTTTGTGGAGTGCATATTACGAATGTGAGGGACTTAAAAACCAAACCGGATGATACATATATATGGGAGTTACAGCTATATCTTAACCGATTTTCACCACATTTGATGTAATTGCTTCTAAACTGAATTCGGTCGGATGTTGCAAAACTCAGGTCATTTGAACTGATATTGGCCATTTGGTGCACAATTAACCCGAAGCCGGTTAAATACTGGGTGAGATGAAAACACTGCAACAAAATTCAGACAGCTGTCACTTCCAAGCTACTCGTCCGACAGCTGTTAAAATTATTCCAGTGACAGCTCCTTATATTGTTTACAAGCGTACAAAAGCATTCTGGTGAGAATTTCCCCGAAAAAAAATTATTCGTGATGGAATTCAAGCGTGATAGTGTGATTTCTTTATAATTGGCTGGAAAACCACAAGTGGCTATCGTTAGAGCTCTCCAGCATTTAAATGTGAATAAATCTTTTGTATCTCGTACCATCGCTCGTTACCTTGATACTGGTAGCGTCGTAGCCCGACGTCAAGGAAGTGGGCGGAAGAAAACAGCAACATCAGCAGAAATGGTTCGAAAAGTCAAGAAGAAGCGACTTGATCGAAACCCGCGTCGCAGTGGCCGAAAAATGGCTCGTGAGCTGAATAGCAATATTCCATTCGGCAAATATTGAAAAATGAGCCATTGAAATTCCAAAAAAGTGCAAGAAATTACAAGGCAACAGAAAGAAAATAGACGCAAAAGAGCTCAGAGTTGCTTCGCTTGGCCGAGGGTGGTGAACTGCCGATTTCTCCGATGACAAAAAGGATTCGTTGACCTACTGTTTGTAAACAAAGAAAATGATCGTGTTTACTCGCCAAAGAGGTCACCTGAAAATGTGCACCTTCGGTTGGACACCAAAACTCAAGCGCCGGCCATGGTGATGGTGTGGGCCGCCATAACAGCCGATGGTCGCTCTCCACTCGAATTAATCGACCGTGTCATCAGAAGAAATGCCGAACATTATGGCGAAAATATGCTGGAGGGTGTATTAAAGCCTTGGGCATGCAAACATTTTGGCCGCAAACCTTGGACATTCCAACAGGACTCAGCACCATTACACTCAGCACGCGCCACCCAGGAATGGTTACAAAATGAGGTTCCTTGAGGTTTCCCTGAGGTTCATTGCCAGCGCACAATGGCCACCGAAATCTCCGGATACCAAAAGTGTCGATCACCTCAAGCAAGTGCTTCGCCGGGAATGGGCCAAAATACCGCAAAGCAACATCCGGCAGCGTGTGACGGTTTCATTGGCCGTTTGAAGACGTGCCATAGTTGATCTAAATTTATTCTAAAATTTGATGCTATTTCCGACCTTTTTATGCTTTCATTCAATAAAATTTAAAATAAAAATTATGGCTTTTGACTTTGTTGCAGTTTTTTTTTATCTCACACTGTATATGCCAACCCTTTGCTATAACAGGCACCAATCGTTATATTAGGTAATTTTGCGATTTATTTGAGGCAATCGTATTGACATTTGGTTTTGTTAGGCAGTTAAAACTGTCATAGATAACAATGCGAAACAGATGCATTCAATGGTATTTTCGAACCTTTTCATTCCCTTATTGCGGATTGTATCAAAAGTTCGGCCCTGTCGGAATTAAATACTTCTTCACTTGCTTTTTTTTGTGTTCTGCTATCAATAACCCCCTTCAAGGTAATGACTCTATAAAATTCATAAAAAAATACCAATGACCCCCTACAAAAATGCACAATGACCTCCGAAGCAGTTAAAATCTCCTCTCATAGTTTTCTCATTAAACCCGTTTTTATTAGCCGGTTGTGTAATGACAAAAACAAGAACTTTCTTTCACCCCAAAATAAGCAACAGAAATGCGAAAAAAATCTGTTTTGGTTCTTCTTTCAAAGACAGGGTAACGAGAGAACAAAAGAAAACTTTCGAGACGCTAAAATAGAGGAAAACGAAGACGAAGAAGATGGAGACGGTCCAACGAAAAAAAAAAAAAAAAAACAAAACTGTCATCAAACAATGAATGAATGAATATACGCCCCTAGTATGGATCTTGTGATAAAGGAGGGGCACTAGGAGGTTGGGGTACCCACATTGCTTGCATTGCCATGGAATGCCTGAATTGAATAACAGAATTGCTTCGCCCGTCTCACAGAGCGAGTGGCTGAGCCAATGAATTGCACAGCTTTTCGTTTTTTTTGCTATGAATGCATACCAATTGAATACAATTTTCAATTAGTTTTATTAAGGAGTTTCAAGTGCAAAAGTTCAATTTTACTTTCTTTTGAGATGCAGAGCGACGACGAGCAAGCAATGCTCGTTCATTTTTTTATTTTTGCGATTATTTTTTTTTTTGGTGGCGATTGGCTTATTGCCTTCATTTAAGCCAATTGAAATGAGTGTTTTTTTTTTTCGTTGGTGGGTTGGTTGGTTGGTCATAGTTTTCACAAATTAATTTAAATGAAATGCTATCTTTTGTTTAAGAGCGCCGAGGATTGAGCCAAATCATTAGCAGGCAACAAAACCAATGACCACACAATTACAACAAAATCAATGAGTTCAGTTCTTTGCTATGCCAGGCACATAAAATTGTCGATGTGATAGGCTATCGACCACGTAGATATTATCCTAATACCACCCCCTTTCACACACACATACATCTATCTCCATCGGAACAGGTTGTTGACATTTCAAGGTTATTTTATTGCTAGAAAATGTTTTCTTTTTTCTACCGAACAAACGAAATTCCTTTGCCAGTCCGCTCACGTATAGCATTTCAGGGTTGTGACCTTTTGTGTTCAGCTGACCGACCCCCTCCTCCGCCCCTCTTGCTCTTTGTTATTAATCTCAATACATCATTAGAGCCTTGTTTTTAAAGTTTTCTACGTTTCGACATGACTCAGTGTCTGAGTTGTTGTTGTTGTTTTTGGTGCTTCAACAAAATATTGATGATGGTCAATTTTTCTGTAATCGTTCCAAATACAAGCTAATACAAATCTAATAGCTTAAGGATATTTAAAGGATGTTTATGTTGCAAATATTTGTTAAAGTCACGATTTGAGTATGGCATGGCCGAAACATGTTTTTGGATTTTGACCCTCAGGCAGGGCACGTGCAAGGGCAATTTCTTGTGAATTTTTGTAATGAAGAAATTTTGTAAAAATTTAAGATTTAAAAATAATGAAATATTTCTTTTTGTTTAGCTTTTTATGTCTTACCTTTAATCCGAATATGTTGAAAATTCCAAAAATGGCTAAATATTTATTTATATTTTTCACTTCATAAAATGGATTTTATCATTAATCAAATTAGAACAAATTTTCACACAGAACACACTGCAAAGAAAGAAAGAGAAAAGTAACAAATTAATTATTAATTAAGAATTAAATAATCTATAAAAATTCCATATTTGGAAGGTGCTTGAAAAATATCCTTTAAAAAATCCAGGTTTGGTAATCAGAAGGTGCTTGAAAAATATTCTTTAAAAAATCCAGGTTTGGTAATCAGAAGGTGCTTGAAAAATATCCTTTAAAAATCCACGTTTAGTAGTCAGAAGGTCCATGAAAAATATTCTTTAAAAAATCCACGTTTGGTAGTCAGAAGGTCCATGAAAAATAATCTTTAAAAAATCCACGTTTGGTAGTCAGAAGGTCCTTCAAAAATATTCTTTAAAAAATCCACGTTTGGTAGTCAGAAGGTCCATGAAAAATAATCATTAAAAAATCCACGTTTGGTAGTCAGAAGGTCCTTCAAAAATATTCTTTAAAAAATCCACGTTTGGTAGTCAGAAGGTCCATGAAAAATAATCATTAAAAAATCCACGCTAAAAAATCCAGGTTTGGTCATCAGAAGGTGCTTGAAAAATATTCTTTAAAAAAATCCAGGTTTGGTAATCAGAAGTTGCTTGAAAAATATCCTTTAAAAATCCACGTTTAGTAGTCAGAAGGTCCATGAAAAATATTCTTTAAAAAATCCACGTTTGGTAGTCAGAAGGTCCATGAAAAATAATCTTTAAAAAATCCACGTTTGGTAGTCAGAAGGTCCTTCAAAAATATTCTTTAAAAAATCCACGTTTGGTAGTCAGAAGGTCCATGAAAAATAATCATTAAAAAATCCACGTTTGGTAGTCAGAAGGTCCATGAAAAATAATCTTTAAAAAATCCATGTTTGGTAGTCAGAAGGTCCATGAAAAATAATCTTTAAAAAATCCATGTTTGGTAGTCAGAAGGTCCATGAAACATATTCTTTAAAAAATCCACGTTTGGTAGCCAGAAGGTGCTTGAAAAATATTCTTTAAAAAATCCACGTTTGGTAGTCAGAAGGTCCTTGAAAAATATTCTTTAAAACATCCACGTTTGGTAGTCAGAAGGTCCATGAAAAATATTCTTTAAAAAATCCACGTTTGGTAGTCAGAAGGTCCATGAAAAATATTCTTTAAAAAATCCACGTTTGGTAGTCAGAAGGTCCATGAAAAATATTCCTTAAAAAATCAACGTTTGGTAGTCAGAAGGTCCATGAAACATATTCTTTAAAAAATCCACGTTTGGTAGTCAGAAGGTGCTTGAAAAATATTCTTTAAAAAATCCACGTTTTATGTTCAAAAGGTCCTTGAAAAATAATCTTTAAAAAATTCACGTTTTATGTTCAGAATGTCCTTGAAAAATAATCTTTAAAAAATTCAAGTTTTATGTTCATAATGTCCTTGAAAAATAATCTTAAAAAAATCCACGTTTGGTAGTCGGGAGGTGCTTGAAAATAATCTTAAAAAAATCCACGTTTGATGGTCTTTTGGTCCTTGAAAAATATTCTTTAAAAAATCCACGTTTGATGATCTATTGGTCCTTGAAAAATATTCTTTAAAAAATCCACGTTTGATGATCTATTGGTCCTTGAAAAATATTCTTTAAAAATTCCACGTTTGATGGTCTCTTGGTCTTTGAAAATATTCTTTAAGAAATCCACGTTTGATGGTCTTTTGGTCCTTGATAAACATTCTTTAAAAGAATCCACGTTTGGTCTATGATAAATATTCTATAAAAATGCCTATTATTCCTTGAGGAAATGAAAACTTCATTTTCCCCCTTCAGGATATACTTTGTGTGTTTGGAGGATTTTTTTTTCGTATTTCAAATTTTCAAACATATCCCATAATTGTTCATTTCATGTCCTCCATTAACAATTTCAAATAACACACCTTTTATTTTCCGATTTCAATCCCGCCTTAATTAAGGTGAGAAAAGATAAAGCGATGTCGTGCACAGCCTATCTAAATCTCCATGGAAACAAATGACAACTATTAGTTTTCATGAAATTTAATCCTGGCAATCCCTCAATATCTGTACACACAATTTTTTTCATAAGGACCTTTAATAAATTTCATTTTAATCCTAGGACACATATACGCGAATGCACACACACAAACACATTCATACAACACAAGGTCTCATTATCCCCAGCTATTCATCACGTTTGTTGAAATAACCCTCGAATAGGTCTTAAACAAAGTTAATTTACCAGTTAATGCAACAGACCAGAGAACCAGAAACAACAACAACAACATCATCATTGCCGACAAAAGGGAACGGAAGGAGTTCAAATCATTTCCAAAAAAGTGAGTTCAATAGAAAATCTCATGTTACTTTACCACAAAAATAAGGGTGGCAGAACAAAAAAAAAACGGTGGCAAGCAGATGAAACGAAATCGGAGTAACAAAAAACCCAAACACAATGTTGCAAATGTAAGCCGCACATAATAATGGAATTCAACATTAAAAACAACAAAAGTAGCAACAATAACATCGTACATATATTGTTGAGATTTTTCTTTTGGAGGTTTTTCCTTTTTTTTTGGCTGGAATCGCAAAACAACAGCATAGCCAAAAATTTACATATCCAGCCGAAGAGGAGAACAAAAAAACATAAGAATCTAACATTGCCACAATACAACAAGCATGTTGTTGAACAACAAACCTACAACACTAACTGAGGCGGAAGGGGGGCCAGACACAGTTTTGAACATTTCATTGGTGTTGCAATGAATTTTTCACCAGAAAAAAATCCCAAAAAAATAAACCCTGGTGGGTGCCAAATGAAAGAGACGCGTTGAAGCGTTTCCATTTTGGGGTTTTGCAACATCGCGGTGTTACTCCCAAATGACATTCAATGGCATTCATTCAGTTTTGTTGCTATTTTTTTGCATTTGTTGGATGTTGTGCACCAGATTCCAGCTTCCATAGGGAATTGTTGAACAGCAAAATCCAAAAAAAAAAAAATTCAAAACACTTTTCATTACAAAAATGTATGCAGACCAACCATCGAACCAGACAGGCCATGGCTTTAGGAACACACAACAAATTACATTTTAAGCTAATATCATTAAAAGGTTTTACCAACGTAAATATTTAAATTCAAGTTTTTAGTCACCCCGCCAGCAGTTGGGGGAGTGGACTACAAATTGGAAGGGACTCATTTCAAAGGGCAGAGGAATTAAAGGGTTGCCAAAGAATAATTTTCCAAGGACCAAAAGACCATTAAACGTGGATTTTTTAAAGAATATTTTTCAAGGACCAAAAGACCATCAAATGTGGATTTTTTAAGAATATTTTTCAAGGGCCTTCTGACTACCAAACGTGGATTTTTTAAAGAATATTTTTCAAGGATCAACAAACCATTAAAGTGGACTTCTTAAGGAATATTTTCCAAGGACCAACAGACCATCAAACATGGATTTTTTAAAGAATATTTTTTAAGGACCAGACCACCAAACGTGGATTTTTAAAAGAATATTTTTCAAGGACAATAGACCATCAAAAGTGGACTTCTTAAGGAATATTTTCCAAGGACAATAGACCATCAAAAGTGGATTTTTTAAAGAATAATTTTCAAGGACCAACAGAACATCAAACGTGGATTTTGTTAACGAATATTTTTCAAGGACAAACAAAATATCGAACGTGGATTTTTTAAGAAATATTTTTCAAGGACCAACAGAACTCTAAACGTGGATTTTTAAAGGAATATTTTTCAAGGGCCAACAGAACACCATAGGTGGATTTTTTAAAGAATAGTTTTCAAGGTCTTCCTGACTACCAAGCGTGGATTTTTTAAAGAATATTTTTCAAGGACCACAAGACCATCAAACGTGGATTTTTTAAACAATTTTTTTCAAGGACCAAAAGACCATCAAACGTGGATTTTTTATAGATAATTTTTCAAGGACCAACAGACCATCAAACGTGGATTTTTTAAAGAATATTTTTCAAGGACCAACAGACCATCAAACGTGGATTTTTTATAGATAATTTTTCAAGGACCAACAGACCATCAAACGTGGATTTTTTAAAGAATATTTTTCAAGGACCAACCAAACATCAAACGTGGATTTTTAAAGAATATTTTTCGAGAACCAAAAGACCATCAAACGTGGATTTTTTAAAGAATATTTTTCAAGGACCAACAGACCATCAAACATGTATTTTTTAATGAATATTTTTCATGGACCAACAGACCACCAAACGTGGATTTTTTAAAGAATATTTTTCAAGGACCAACAGTCCACCAAACGTGGATTTTTTAAAGAATATTTTTCAAGGACCAACAGACCATCAAACATGTATTTTTTAATGAATATTTTTCATGGACCAACAGACCACCAAACGTGGATTTTTTAAAGAATATTTTTCAAGGACCAACAGTCCACCAAACGTGGATTTTTTAATGAATAGTTTTCAAGGACCAAAAGACCCTTGAACGTGGACTTCTTAAGGAATATTTTTCAAGGACCAATAGACCATCAAAAGTGGACATCTTAAGGAATATGTCGGAAATAGCATCAAATTTTAGAATAAATTTTGCTTTGTTCGAATTTGTCACCCTTGGCACGAATTACGGCCAATGAAACTGTCACACGCTGCCCGAATGTTGCTTTGCGGTGATCAATACTTTAGTATTTTTAGTGCCATCCTTGCTTTCCAAAATACTCCAGACACAATAGTACAACGGATTGGTATCTGGAGATTTTGGTGGCCATTGTGCCCTGGAAATGAAGCAAGGATCCATTCTTGGGTGGCGCGTGCTGAGTTCTGTTGAAATGTCCAAGGTCTGCGGCCAAAATGTTTGTGTTCCCAAGGCTTTAATACACCCTCCAGTATATTTCGCGATAATATTCGGCATTTATTTTGATGCCACGGTCGATTAATACTAGCGGAGAGCGACCATCGGCTGTTATGGCGGCCCACACCATCATAATGTCCGGTTCTTTAGTTCTGGTGGCCAACCGAAGGTCCACATTTTCAGCTGACCTCTTTAGAAAGTATACACGATCATTTTGTTTGTT